ATATATATGTGTGTGTGTGGTGTGGTGTGTGTGTGTGTGTATATATATATATATATATATATATATATATAATATATATAATATATATAATATATGTATATATATGTGTGTGGTGTGTGGGTGTGTGTGTGTGTGTGTAAATATATATATATATATATTATATATTATATATATATATATATATATATATATATATATATATATTATATATATGTATAATATTATATATATATATATATATATATATATAGAGAGAGAGGAGAGATAGAGAGAAGAGAGAGAGAGAGAGAGAGAGAGAGAGAGAGGAGAGAGAGGAGAGAGAGAGGAGAGAGAGAGGAGAGACAGACAGAGACAGAGAGAGAGAGAGAGAGAGAAGAGAGAGACAGAGAGAGGAGAGAGAATAGAGAGAGAGAATGAGAGACAGAGAAAGAAAGAAATAATTACAAAAATTCTGATAACCTACCCGTACACAATTTCTCTACATTTCACTTTCTCTCTTTTTTACAGAATTCATGGAGATGATGGCTGGCTAAGAATCTCAACTCTTCTCCCCAGTGTCAAAATTAGAAAAAAAAAATAAAAGAAATCAAAACACAAATGAAAACAAATAAAAGTCACCCCCATCAACCCTTTAAAAAAATGAATAAATATATAAAAAAAGCAATCAAAAAGACACCATTTTTTCCTCATAACTGTATCGAGGAATTTACTTACATACACTGATGTAGATACAGACACGTACATACACTGATACACATAGACATGCGTACACAACACCAACACAACACACACACACACACACGCACACACACACACACAACAAACACACACACACACCCACACAACACACACGCAAACCACACCACACACACACACACACATACACACATACACACACAACATATATAAATAGCCTGTCAAAATATGATGTTTTGTATTGAATATGTGAATATTTGATATTCTAAATCGTATTTTTTTTAACCTTACCATTTTTTTTTATCTTTTACAAAATTATTTCCCGTCTATTTAAGACTCGCTAATGGAAGGAATTACATAATGTATATTTCTTATTACTACTTTTGTTAAGAAAGAAGAAAAGTTCCCTTGTTTGTTTGTTTTTTTGTTTTTAATTATTTGGTCCGTAATAGAGAGGTGTCCTTTGTAAATGGTGGTTCAGGTTGATCTGAAAAGTTTGAAATGTGTTCGTCTTTTACTGTCGGTAAAGTTTGGTCAAGTACCATATATGCTGTCTGTCTGTCTGTTGTCTCTCTGCTGTCTCTCTCTGTTTCCGCCTCTTTCTCCCTCCTCTTATCACTTTCTGTGTCTCTAAGCCCCCACGCCCCTACCCCCTCTCTCTCTCTCTCTCTCTCTCTCTCTCTCTCTCTCTCTTCTCTCTCTCTCTCTCTCTCTCTCTTCTCTCATTCTCTCTGTCTCTCTCTCTCGCCGCGTCTCCCTCCCGCCTCTCTCTCTCTCTCTCTGTCTGTCCTGTCTGTCTGTCTGTCTCCTCTCCCTTTCTCTTTCCTTTCTCTCTTTTTCTCTTCATATCTCTCTTCTCTTTTCTCTTCTTCTCTCTCTCTCTTTCTCTCATTATCTCCTCCTCTCTTCTTCTCGGTCTCTCTCATCTCTCTCTCTCTCTCTCCAGCCGTATCTGCTTCTCTCTCGATCAGTCTGCTCTCTTCTTCCCTCTCTCTTCTCTTTCTCCCTCTCGTGTCTTTACGGATAAAAAATATATATAAGATGGAACACGATATAACCTGAATTACCCAATAAAACAGCTACTGGAGCAGTCTCTTTGTCATAATACATTAAAAACAAACGAACATTAAAAATCCAAAACGAGGAAATGATAAAGTCAATAATGATTCCATGTTATGATGCAGCTGTTATGATGGTTATCACGTTTTGGCCTGCTTCGCTCTTTCTCTCTCAGTCTGCTTCATCCATCTCCTCTCTCTTCGTGCTCATTCTCTCTCAATCTGCTCTCTCATCTCTCTCGGGTGTGTACTATCTCTCGGTTCTCTCTTCTCTGCTCTCTTCTCTCCCTGTCCCTGCTCTTCCTCTTTCTCTCAACTATTCTGCTTTGTCTTCATATACGTATAAACTTGCCCGCTGACACCTTTGCATATTAAATATAAAAAATCACATAAAAGCTCTTATTTAGTAAAAAACAAAAAAAAAAAAAAAAAACAAAAAAAAGAAAAAAAAAAAAAAAAAAAAAAAAAAGTAAAAAAGAATAACGAAGAAACAATAATGTAACACTTTTTTTTGCCAAAGCAGCGAGTCTTAACGAGTGATAACCAGTACATCAACAGCTAGACATCAGAAAAAAAGTTGTTTTATTATTCTTGGTATGTATCATTATTGACTTTATCACTTTACTTCGTTTTTGGATTTTTTTCTTAAAGTGTATTTCGTTTACTTTTTCATGTTATTAATGGCAAGAGACTTCTTTCGTAGTGTTTATGTGGGGTAATTCAGGGTATATATATATCGTGTTCCATCTTGTATATATTATTTTTATTCACAATAAAACGTCCAGATAAGCAGAGATGATCGGGGGAGAAAAGAGGATGAGAGAGGAGGAGAGCAAGAGAGAGGAAAGAGAGAGAGAGAGAGATGAGAGAGAGAAGAGCGAGAGAGGAATAGAAGAGAGAGGGAGGAGAGATGGATAGGGAGTCAGAGGAGAGAGAGGGGGGGGTGGGGGAGGATAGGAAAAGAGGGCAGCGATAGAGAGAGAGGGCGAGGGAGGGAGGGAGAGAGGGAGAGAGGGGATAGAAGGAGAAGAGAGGTGGAGAGAAGAGAGAGAGAGAGAGAAGGAGAGAAGAGAGAGAGAGGAGAAGTAGGAGAAGAGAGAGAGGAGAGTAGAGAGAGAGAGAGAGGAGGAGAATGGGATGGAAGGGGGGGGAAGAGAAGCTAGAGAGACGAGTA